TAGTTGCCAAGGCAATATTTATAATTGGCATTCAAAGTTTTGTTTTATTTTAAAAAAATTAATATTTCAAAGTTTAAATATTTTATTTCAGCTTTACTTCAATTAACATTTTTACCAGTTTTAGTCTAGAACAACTGTCCCTGTGACCATAAACTAATGCATAAACTTTATAGTGCTTTTATTAGCTTTATTATGTCTGAGTGGTGGAGCAGTGAACCATCTTGCTAACGCGTTCAGTCGTTCATGTGAGCTGCACACTGTGTGCTTGAGCCTTCAGGGCTGGTTGATACGCTGACCCTGTAATCCTCAGTACTGTGACTCTCACATGATGTAGGAATGCTGTGCCGTGGCCCACTCGCACTCGTTCTCTTCTGTCTCCTCTACCCCTCAGCCGACCAGCATCCCTCTCTGAGCGCTCTGGAGGACATACCGGGTCCACTCCCGGTATTTGGGAGGTATGGGCTGGTTTCCGTCTTTTGGGAGATTTTTCTTTTGGAGGAGGAATGACTTCCAGAATGGAGAGAACAAACCTCTGATACCAAAGGTAGTGACTGCTTTCTGTTCAGTTTATTTACATTTTTGTATTTGCCAGTTGATTGTTGGTGACTTAGCGCTGTTTTAGCAGCCAATTCACAAAAGACATTATGTAAATCAAAGAGTGAAACTTATTTCTGGAGTAACATAACTTCTGTTACAACTTATGATTTGAGTTTAAGGCAGGATTACCTCTAATACACGATTTAGCGGCAAGAGAGTGGAAATAATGTTTGATTAAATATTAATAATTTAAATTATAAATAATAATTTGTAGTATTTTTATCATTTATTATTGTATATATTTTATCATTTTATAATTTATTATTTTTATATTTTATTTTTTTATATTACTTTTATTTATAATAATAATAATAATAATAACAAATGCAGCAATGTGTTATACTTATTTATTACCATTAGTAAATGAAAAAATAAGAAAAATAAATGTACATTAGTTTTACACAAATAATCATAATAATAATATTTTAAATTATTGAACAGTAACAAAAACACCAGCAACAATAATCAATAAAAATACATAATAATAGTAATAATAATAACAATTACTCAAATAGTTTAATGAAACACTCTTGGTCAGTTTGGGCCAAATGTTTCAATGTATTAATGGTAATAATAAAACTGATAGTAATGATAACAACAACAGTTAGCAAAGATATTATTATAATTTTCATAATGGTTAATCAGAGTAAAAATAATATTAGCTAAGTTTCTATTGTTATTATTATTATAATAATCATTATTATTAATGCATTGAAACTGTAAATTTGGTCCAAACTGTCTAAGGATATTCAACTGAACAAAAGTGTTTGATTAACTATTTGGAAATAATAGTTAATAATAATAATAAAAAACAACTTATTATTATTATTAATATGGTTATTATGAATGAACTGTCACTGTTCTGTGAATCTGGCCCAGGAGCTCTTAAGGTAATGATACACAGGGCAACTTTTTAAGCAATATTGCTGGGCAATCTTGCAGAGTGATTGTTGCATGGGCATTTTCCCATCGAAAATGTTCAATGAATTTCTGTCTGGATAATTTAGGTTGTGGGCACTGTGCTCAAACATTGCTCAAAAAGTTGCCCTGAGTATCATCACCTTTAGGGTATTCATCTGACCAAATTCATGAACTTTCTACTTCTTACACCATCATCAGGGAGACGTTAAAAACTCAGAGGGTACCTCAGCGGCCACGTATCTGGGAACGCACGACAGTTCAGGAAGTCAAACCAGCTCGAGCTCATCCTGCCATGAAGGGTCAACCAGAGCTTCATCATGGAGGATCTTCACTCCACGGGTTCACAGTTCGTCCAGTTGGAGCGACTATATTCTGAAGTACCTCCTCATCACGAGCAACCTGCTCTTCACTGCTCTCGGTCTGGTCACGCTAGTGGTAGGCCTGTGGGGTTTGATTAACAAAGAGTCCTTTGCTCAGGAGAAGATCAGCGGTATCGGCACAGACCCCATGCTGCTCTTCACGTTCCTCGGTTTGGTTCTCGCCCTGCTGAGCCTGACGGGATGTGTGGGAGCGTTGCGGGAGAACATGTGCCTTCTTCGGACCTTCTCGGCTACTGTGCTCCTCCTTTTGGTGGCGCAGGTTCTGGCGGCGGTCCTGGTTTACAGCATGCAAGGCCAGATCGTGGAGGTCTTGCGCTCGGGTATGCAGGCCGCCATGGTGCGGTACCAGGACGACCTGGACCTGAGGTTCATCACTGATGAGATCCAGACGGGCCTGCAGTGCTGCGGGGCGGATACCTACAGAGACTGGGAAATCAATGTGTGAGTGCATGAGCAAAATGAGTGGAAATCAAGAGAGGGGCTGACATCATTACAGTTTCCAACACTGCAGTAGTCCAAAGTTGAATACACAGATTATAAAACACAATTTGTAATAAAGAGCATCTCCAGCGTTTAATGCATTCTGGACTTTAGTTTGGAGTTGGCTTTCACATCTTTTTTCCATTCATGTTTCCAATGTATTTCACATGATCACACCACAATCCTTATTTAGCAATCCCAATTACGATTACCTATGCATTATTGACAAAGTAAGGCTCTACTGAAGGGAGTTTAAAGTTAAAGTGTGTATTATTATTAAAGTGTGTACCCTTTTGACCTGGGCTAAAAAAAACAATCATCTAGAAACCACCCACAATTGCACTAAAACATCATAAAACCCCTTAGCAACCACCTAACAACACCTTAGCATCATGGCATCAAGTTTTGCATGAACCTTTTTGACCTAGTCTGGTACAACCTGCCAGAAATGCACTAAAAACTACTCTGACTTCCTTAGCAACCACATAGAAACACCCTTACATTATGGCATCAAGTTTTGCATTAATCTGGTATGTAATCAATTATCTAAAAACCACCCAAAAATGCACTAAAATTAAATTTAGAATCACTCAGCAACATCCTAGCATCATGGAAGCAATCATGGATTTGCATGAACCTTTTTGATCTTTTTTAGTAAGCTACCACCCAGACCACCCTAGCAACCACACAGAAATGTACTTAAAAACACTTTGGGTCCCTTAGCAACCTCATAGCAATGACCTAGCATCATAGCATTAATTTTGCCATGGCACCCTAAACACTCACGGTCTTCCTACGAGTAATGGTGCTTTGACTAACACAGTCTCATCCCAAGAAGTCATATAACTGACGTCTTGGGACATCTTTTGACCATACGTCAACATCCGCCTTTTTAGGGTACCCTTAAACGTCGGTTACATGACGATCCCGGGCCGTCATACAACTGACGCTTTACCTTTAACGTCGGTTAGGTGACGGGGGTAGGTTTAGGTCTGGGGTAGGGTTAGGATCTGAGAATGTCATCTAACCGACGTTTAAGGGTACCCTAAAAAGGCGGATGTTGACGTATGGTCAAAAGACGTCCCAAGACGTCAGTTACGTGACGTCTTGGGATGAGACTGTGCTGCTTTGACTGTCGGGTATAAGTCTGCTGTGGAAAACATTTCTGTCCAGGCTCAGCAAAAGTGTGCATCGAGGGCGCGTATCGACTAAATCCTAAAATGAGAAATGACCCTGGGACACCCTTCAGTCTCTTGGATTTCACAATTACAATCACAATCAGCGGCCAATGTAAGTCCACAAGATCGTGAGTGCATATGAAGTGTGCCATTTGGGACAGGGCCTAAGAACACCTTAGCAACCAAATATAAATCACCTATAACATTCTATCGGTTTACAACTTTAGGCATGTAAAAACATAGTCCTTATTTTTGCATTAATTCTTGGTGCCACAAGTGGGACAGATTTGACACTTCACCCTTGACCTACCTTTGAACTCGAAATGCATTGTTGCAAATCCAGTTGAGTGAGTCTTACCGGTATCCATTTCTCTGGCACAGGTATTTCAACTGTTCGGCTCCAGGGGTCCAGGCTTGCGGAGTGCCCCCTTCATGCTGTGTAGATCCCCTAGAGAACGGGACGGTGTGGAACAGCCAGTGTGGAGTCGGCGCCCAACAGCTGGACGAGTTCTCCGCCCAGAGCGTGATCTTCCTGGGCGGCTGTTTGGGCAGCATCTCCCGCTGGATTGAGCACAACAGTGGAGTGATTGTCACGGTAGTCATAATTCTGCTGGGGGTCCAGATACTCACTCTGTTCATGGCGGATCATCTGCTGCAGAAGATACGCTGGAACAGAGCTCGGCATGATGTGTACTTACAATCACTGCAATGAATGGACTCAGATGTTTCAAATAAGACGATAATATGTCATCGGGATTCTGAACCAGTCTGGATTTAATTAATTCATTGCATCTGGCATCTGGAGAAGTTAAGCTGTTTAGTCTGGAGACAAATAGTCTAGGAAATTTATGATAGCATATTAAATCTTAAAGGCATTAAAGGTTCTTTCATTGTTTGTAAATGATTTCATAAAATACCTAGGCCTAGTATTCTTATTTGGTATAGTTGTTTAAATGACCAAATAATACTCTTAACAACACGTCCCTTCTACACAATCTCTTTTGTATATAATCACATTCTTAAACTGTCAAGTCAAGTCACCTTTATTTATATAGCACTTTTTACAACACAGATTGTATCAAAGCAGCTTCACAGTGATAACATGAAAATAATACTACACAGAGTGCTCATCCATTTCCGGTTGTGTAGAAAAAAAAAAGCGGAGGAAAACCGAGGAAAACGGTGTTATGGCAGAGTCTTCAAAATTTACTGTCCTCCAGTCTTTGAAATGAAACGTACGTTTAGATGTAATTTTATATATAGTTATATTTATTTAATATCATTTTAAAAAGAAGCATAAACACAACGAGGGGTGTCTGTTTTATCTGTTTTTGTGACTAACGTTTCTTTAGTATAACCATGGAGTATAAAATTCAATATAAATTCTCGGTATTGCATTGGACTCTACGATCGGCGGAAGTTATCGAGCATCCCTAATCCTTCACCGGAAATACGGCCGTGCATAGAGCCCATTAGTGAAAAAAGGACAGCAGGAAGTAGAAAACCGTCCAGTCAGAAAAAGGTGGGTAGACATTTGAATGTAGCTCTATTGCCCTCTTTAGTACTGGTCTGTTACCGCCAGAACACATCTTTTGCATTTTTAAAGTGTGTTTCTGCAATATTAACCTTGATAACTAAACACTAGTAATGTTAATTGAATTGCAGTTAGACACTGAAACATTTAAAGGGTAAAGTAATTTGAAACCACATTCTGCTTATTGGCTACATGTTACTGCATATTGTGCATGTTTTAGTTTGTATTTGATTAGCAGTTGAAGAAGCAGGAATTACTCTGACACATTGTTGAAAAGTATGAAAAAAGTCAAGCTTTATTTGATGTCCAAACCCTTCCTGTGCTGTCGGGAATGAGTCGGACTCATTCTCATATGGCTCTCTGGCATCATAAGGCCAATAAACTGGGCCGGGCACTCACAGAGAGCAGCTCCCAGTAATCGCACTATGGTCAGATGCCGAGACCCCACGCCAAACAAATTTTTGACACATTCAGACACAATGAAAACCTATACATCCATCATTAAAAAGATTCAGCAGCTGCTACATTTTGTACATTGATGTTTGCAGAGTAATATGGAAGTAAACTCAAGAAGTGGCACCTAAAACGCCTTTTATATGTCAATATGACAATACTAATATGTAAAATGTTAAAGTAAAAAAAGTTGAATAAGAAGAAGTTATGTGAAATTAGCATTGGTGACGGTGTGAGTTTGAAGAGGTAGATTAACTAATTCCATTTAATTATTAAAAATTAATAATTAAAGACTAACCAAACTTCGACCAAAATATATTTCTAAATTTGAATATTTAATTGATGTATTAAGGTGCAGGATGTTGTCATGACCATTCGCTGGTTGCTGATTCAGTGGGATGTGGGAACAGGAAGTGACCTCATATAATGCCATACTGGGCCAGCTCGTGTAATTCCAGGTGACTGTATGCCTCCCACGGACAGATCACGTTAAAGTCTGTGACAAAGAATATGATTAGACATGCACATAATCTTAATCATTAAGTCTCAAAAGACTTAGATAGTAGAGAGTACATAATATTTAATAATACTTTTTTTTTTTTTTACTTTTGAAAAAATATACATACCAGTTCCCAACCATTCCATTCCAGGAATATCTTCACCAAATCTGAGAATGACAGCATTAATAATATTAAGTCAGATAAAACCTGCAGATCTATCCAAGGCCAAACTAAAGGCATTTAAAGTATTTAAAAAAAATAAAAGTATTACCCAATGACACCCTTTTTGGGGGGTTTGCTCTTGAATTGCCGCATTGACCTCTGTTTGAACTTGGTCTGGCCACCGCCAGGCCCTACGACACGTGTGGCAACCTTGCTGCTCGCGTTAGGCTTTGAGTTCTCCATAACCTCAATAGAAACCAATGGCAAGTACACTGGACGCTTGTTTTATGATGATCTGTAAGAGATTGGTATTCAAAAGTTGGCAAAAAAAGAAGCAAAACATATATATATATATTTCTTTTTGCATTGCATTGTATTGCATTGCATTGCATTGCATTTCCACCAAAGCTTGATAATGATTAAAGATTCATTGGAAGAATTGAGAATTGAAAACCATTTATAAAGGGAACACATAGGTCATCTGTTCTGACCAGATGAATAGACTGTGTATAATAATAATTATAAATCTCTAGGCTGTCAGTGTCCAGGCTCCTTTAATCCCCATTACAATGATCAAGTCCCCTTTAATCTGCTGTCCAGAGGGATTCTCCATTAATCGTATTAGATGAAGGTCAGTGCACAATAAGCAGAATTAGCTTGATGTTCCTTTTATAAGATAAAACACAAAAGAGTTCACTGCTTGAGTTTACTGCGCTATAATATAGGAAAATGAGCTCAAGAGCATCACAATAGTTTCTCTGCTGCAACTGATTAATTTGTCACTTTTTAAAAAAAAAAAAAATCACTGTTTAGGTAATTAGGGGATATATGAGGTAGAGCCCGACCGATAAAGATTTTGAAGGCCGATACCGATACAAATATTTTTGTGTTTTAAAATCCGATATTCCGATATATCGGCTGATATTTTTATTTATTTATTAAATATTGTTGGATTTCACACACGTGTAAAAGAAAAGCTAACTTTTCTGCACAAGATACGTTTGATACTTTTTCTCTCTGTCTAAATGTTCACTCCTCGCAAGTATAACTTACATTTTACAAAGCAGGGACTGTAACTAGAGATATGCTAGTTATAAATACAGTAATCATTACTTTATTTAGGCAGAAAAAGTTCATTGTGGTTTCCAAGCTCATTAATGTTAACGTTAGCGGTCTTCCACTGATGATGGTGGCATTAGCTAGTCTATGATGAGCCATAATTTAGCAATAGATAACATCATACTGCAAATTGCAAAACATACATTTTCAATATAACAGGCCAAGGAGAGATGATTGAAGCGTGTTTCGTCCATTTTTATTTTATTTTTCAAATATTAATTTATCGGCCATTATAACTGCCGTTACCGATATTATGGAAAATGCCTAATATCGGCCGGCCGATATATCGGTCTGGCTCTAATATGAAGTCAGTTCTCTTCAAGTTTAAGTGGGTTTAGTTCATCAGGATCGTTCACACCGGTCAAACTCAGTTCCCGGAGAGCCACTATCCTGCAGAGTTCAGATCCAACCTCAATTAAACACTCCCGAACCAGCCAATCAAGATCTTCAGGATTATTACAATTATTACAAACATAGCAAGTTAATAAACGGTCTGACCATTAAGAACTAGCAATTTGTCATGGCCAATCATTCTTTCTTTTCGGATTCAAATGAGACCAATCTACCTTTTTATGTAAGTTATGACCAGTCGTGAAGAAAAAGAAAATCGTTGACTATGCAACCGGCCACAGATGTTTTGGAGCTAAACTTTAGGAACTGAGTTTCCCTGGTTCACACAAGAATGATAATAAAGATAGCAATAGCTCTTAGGGTACACACCAACCGACTAGATTATACTATACGCATATATATTATAAGCGTACACATGGTTATATTATCTGCCAGTTTAAATGCTTCAGCTCATTAAACTCGGGTGGATTCTGTTTTACTGTCAAAAAAAAACCTAAAATTGTTCTGAAAATGAACGAATAAGAATCATAGTTATCGTCCTAGGTGTGAACGGGCTCAGACTATAGAAACAACAAACAGAAACAATATCTTTTTGACAAATATATTGTTTTATCATTTCAAACCTACACCGCTTTTGTGAATTGTTTGATAGGTGTGTTTGCATGTGCTCTCTTTCTTCAAAATCAACGCCACAATATGATATAAAAACTTTCCATAGTTAAAATATTACACTTTTTTTCCATTTTTTAGATGCACTCACCTGGCTGCTGGTCTTTCCTCTGTCTCTGTGTGTGTGTGTGTTGAGGCTCTCTGTCAACACACGTGCTCACATCAGCTCTTATATACTTCTGATCATCATAATATGATTATTCCTGCACATGTTGGCCCTTCCTCTTTCCGAAACACTGCAGCTGTCATCAACCCTCACAGGGTTCGATGAGGCCACAAATAAGAGATTAATCCGGTTTGTTTTCCACGGTTCATGCAATATTATATTAGGCACAGAGCGTTTGGTTGATTTTAATTTAGGATTTTATTGGTTTTGCTTAAGGGTTTTCTTTACATATTAAATGATCAGCATAACAATTTGACTGAAAACAGTTGTGAATTAGAATAATGATAAAGATAGAATATCGGTTAAGATATGACATTGAAGATATTTAACTTTAAAATGGATTAACAGGAGGGAGGAGTCACATCAAAATATTCACATCGCCGATTTTGTATATGCAGAATTGTCATCAGCTCACATATTCACACACATGACACGTCTAGTGTGATGATCCTGATCTTCTATTATGTAAGAGTTTTTCTGAATCACCTGTCCAGAAGTCCCGTGCGTGTGCTGTGAGTCCTGGCTTCAGTTTGATCAGCAGTCTGTCAGATAATCTCCACATCTCCATCCATTCAGAAGAAAGATTAACTCCAATCTGAACAAACACACACACACACCACACTAAATCAACTGCGGTATGCAGTCCCTTCTAAACTTACACGTGGATGAATAAAATAGGAAATACATTTGATGGCATATTTCTGTGGTGTAGCCTACATTTTATACACCTCTTAAAAACAAGAGCTCATTGGAAAGTTAAATCACAATGTGCCACCCCTCATGAAACGACAATATATTTCCATATATCAATGATCAATATATTAAATGGTTTAACAGTATATTTGAAAATATACAGGATTATATATTGTGTTAATATATTTCAATATATCGAATAATATATATATAAAACCTCACAACAGGCACTTTTTTTTAGCACAATGGTGACCCCAAAAACTCACACACACTAGAAAACCTTTTCAATTCCAAAATAGGCTAATCAGCCCAGTCTCATCCCAAGGCGTCACCTTACTGACGCCTTGGGAAGCATTTTGACATGCTTCAATATCTGACGCTTTAGCCACCCTTTAGCGTCAGTTAGATGACGCCCTAGGGTCGCGTGTAAAGCCTTGTTTATACTCGACGCGTCCGCAAGAGCGCGAGTCTCCGCTGCCTGCGCGCGCACCTCTCCAAACGGACGAGGCATTTATACTTGACGCGCTCGCCGTTGTGCTATTCTGTGAAACGACAGGGGGCGAACTCGGAGTAACTCTCCTCTAAACCACCAGGAATCAGCAGTGAAGAAGTAATTTCCCGTTTATTAGTAGTATTAATTGCTAATTCATAAATGTAAATGTAGTAAATGTAGTAGGTTTATTGTAGCCTACTTTCACTGCATGTAAACTAGTTAAACAACTGAAGCCTTGTTGGAGAGTGTTTAAACCTTAATTTTACCAGCAGGGCTTAATTCTGCTATTGTAGGCTTATTTTGTAGATGTAACCAATTACTTTAGACAAGTGCGAACTAGGTGAAATCACTAATGGAGAAAATCTAATTTTAAGTCACCATTATGGTGATCAGTGTTTGCTTTAGTTGGGCTCTTGACCCTTAAAAAAGGAGAATAAGAAGGAGATACAAAAAAATGTTCTCTCTCAAAACTGTTGTATTCCACTAACTGAGAAACGTTGCGTTCACTCGCAAAAGCCCTGGTGTTTCCTCTCCCACTTTTTTATCACCACCATGTAGGCTACCTCTAGGGGCACTGTAGTAATAAATCAATGAAAATTAAAAATGAATTTAAAAAAATGTATATTCAGCACACACCACATATTCAGTATTTTACATACGTAGATATATGGCCTTAGAAAGGACATAATGGGGATTATAAAATACACAGTTTTTAATAACAAACTCAAGAACAACCGGCACAAGATTGACAAACAAACCTGACAAAAAATCAGGGGGCAGAGATGGGTAGGTTTGGGGGTGGGGTTAAGGATCACGGGGCAGAGAATGGTAGCATTAAGGGTGGGGTTTGGGATCAGGGGGTGGAGACTGGTAGGTTTAGGGGTTGGGTTAGGGATAAGGGGGTATGGATGGGTAGGATTAGGGGTGGGGTTTGGGATCAGGGGGTGGAGATGGGTAGGATGAGGGGTGGGGTTAGGGATAAGGAGTGGAAATGGGCAGGTTTAGGGATCAGGGGCGGAGACGGGTAGGTTTAGGGGTGGGGTTAGGGATCAGTGGACGGAGATGGGTAGGCTTAGGGGTGGAGTCAGGATCGGGGGCGGAGACGGATAGGTTTAAGGGTGGAGTCAGGATCAGGGGGCGGAGACGAATAGGTTTAGGGGTGGAGTCAGGATCAGGGAGGGGAAATGGATAGGTTTAAGGGTGGAGTCAGGATCAGGGGGCAGAGACGAATAGGTTTAGGGGTGGAGTCAGGATCAGGGGGCGGAGACGGATAGGTTTAAAGGTGGAGTCAGGATCAGGGGGCGGAGACGAATAGATTTAGGAGTGGAGTCAGGATCAGGGAGCAGAGACGGGTAGGTTTAAGGGTGGAGTCAGGATCAGGGGGCGGAGACGAATAGGTTTAGGGGTGGAGTCAGGATCAGGGGGCGGAGACGGATAGGTTTAAGGGTGGAGTCAGGATCAGGGGGCGGAGACGAATAGGTTTAGGGGTGGAGTCAGGATCAGGGAGCAGAGACGGGTAGGTTTAGGTACATGTAAGGTCCAGATCCAACTCCTCCCCTTGGATTTTGTGTTCTGCAGTGAGGACCATCTCATAAATACACATAGATGAGGACACTAAACATGAAAAGCTGGACAAGAATGAACTAATTAGAAACAATAATGACAAATTAGAACTAATGCAGACATGCTAATGCAGAACTAATGCAGACAGAAACAATTAAAGAGAACATGATTGTGACAGCATTGATAATAATGAGATTAATAAACCCAGTTGAGGAATTAATCCGCTATCCGAGCAGGTGGGGCTAGAAAATATATTCATTAAATTCAAATTTGTTATGGGTCATATTTTTAAGAATTTTCTGAATATAAAAGATATATATTTGATGATTTGTTAAAATATGGACTACCGAAAACTAAATAAGCACTTGGTTTATTATAAATACAGATCATCATCAGCAAAGAGTCTTTGATTTGATCCCAAATATATTGGATTATTAGCGCCACCATGTGGCAAGAGTAGAAATAACACAAAGTTAATTTGAGTTTTATCAAATAGAAGATAATTTAATCTTAATTTCATAACATGTATTACATGAACCATATCATAATAATGATATTAATAAACTTGATTAATATCATTAACTTACATTGTAAGTAACCCTCAAGGACATTTATTATACAAATTTAGTTTTTAATTGAATCACTCACACAGAATATTTTGCATATATTTCCTCATTTATTGAATAAAACTGTTGACTACTAGACTGTGAAATCTTGTTGCATTGCAGCCTGCATATTTTTGTATTATCATCAATTTCAGATGAACCCACCCCTAAACTTCAAAAGTCAAAATTCAAAACTCTTTCCATGTGATATGGCTTTTCATCTAACTGAGAAGAACTTGGCCAGAATAAACTGAAATCAGAATGGATATGAGTTATAATGATTAGGTCAAAATGTGAGACCACAATAATTAATACAGAAATTATTGCACACACACTTTCAGGTTTCTATTACATTAAGTTTTCAACAAATATCCAAATAATTCATTTCTAAATATGCTAATTCTGAACCTATTAGAAGTCATCAGATGATCACTAGTGGAGATCCTAATCAAAGAAGATCAGATGCTTCTCACAATCCTTGTTTTATTCACAACTTGTAGTAATTTTACAGCATTATAAACAAAAATTTAAATACTGCATGGAGAAAATTACTTAAAGGTATAGGCAATGTTTTTCATGAACACTTTTAGTTATACTATAGCTGAAACTCTCTTCACATCCTGATATCAATCAATAATAAAAGTGATTATATATATGTATATATATATCTTCTGTGAAAGTGTCAATACCAAAATATGTTCGTCCAATCATTTCCAATCAAATGTTCCCATCAATCCAGTTTTGTTAATAATGGGAATAATGTGACACCAGTTGACCCCTGTGTGACCCCTATTTCCCAACACAGGTACAGATGGGGCTTGAAAATGTCATCATAATTTTTGTTCTTTTTTTAGAATTCTAAGAATCTAAAAGTTAACATTTGATGATTTATTAACATATGGACTATAGAAGTTATATACTATATTATTTTCATTACAATCTCACAATATTTACAATCTTTTTACAATATGAAAAAAAAAAATCAGACCTTTATAACCAATTGCTTCAGTGTAAATACAGATAATCAGCGAGGACAGCAAATACGCTGGATTAAAACAATCAAGACTTAACCAATTAAAAGTAAATAGTTAGCGCCACCATCTGGCAAGAATAGGAATAACAAAATATTGAACTTTCCCATGGCTGACACAAACATTCATTTGAGTTTTAGACAATATTTTTGGTGTATTTTACCATCACATTTAGGTATTGTTCAATACATGCATGATAAAAACATTTACATGCTCAGAGTTAACTTACTTAAGACCGTGAACTTGCATTAAGTATTCCCTCGCCTATATTTATTACACAAATTTAGTTTCTAATTGAATCGCCTACAATATTGTACATATTTCCTTTGGACTCGTTTATTAACAAAACATTGTGCCATTATGTAAATTAGTATCTTGTTGCATTGCATACGTTTTTGTATTATCATCAGTTTTAGAAGTCAAACTTAAAAGCACGTCGGTCAGATGTCTTTTCAGCTAATTAGGAAGTTCCTGGCCAGGAGATGCTGTCAATAGAATTTATTACTTCATTATGATGAATTTAAAAATTGTAACCACAATTAATACAGAATTGTTGCTCACTCATTTTCAGGTTTATACATCAAATGCTTAATATTACTGTCATTTATGTCATTTAACATATTTACAAATAAGTAATTTCTAAGGATATTAAGTATTATCTCATTAGAAATCATCACAGATGATCAAAGGTTCAGTGGAGATTATACACCAATCAGGATCTAAACTAACAAATGAATAAAGTTTCTCTTTAAAATACTGGCCAGATGTGTGACCACTGCTAAATGCCTATTAGTTTGCTTCATCACATGCACTTCATATTAAAATACACCCTGAACATGCATCAATCATCACCATTAAGATCATTTTCAATCTTTACCTTCTAATGGTGCGGTGTTGTCATGTATCACTTCTTTCTCATCTTCAGGCCCACAGAGACATGAAGCTGAATCGGCATCCAGAGTCGCATTCCCTGTTGAAATATATAAAAATATATGTAAATAATAAAATAGTAATATTTTACAGCATTACATCTACTTTAAAGACTGGTGTATTGAGGTAACATAATCTGATGTAATACTAGACTTTTACTACTGTAATGCAATCTAATTTGACATAAACTACACAATTATCATGTCATCATAGCTAACTGAATAAGTTATGATATAATTCTTCACACCCCAACAAGGACAACCAATTTTCAAACCCTGGTTTCTACCCTACTTGTGTTGAGTTTATTTAGATTTCTTTAGTTACATTTACAAGTTTAAATGGTAAAATTTTTAAATTATGGCTTAAATTATAGCATGACCATGAATTTGGTCAAATACATTATTGAATTCATAAAACTTGAGTTTTTTTTATTTTTTTACCATGTCTGTTTCTGAATGTGTGATCATCAATAAACAGAAAGTAAGTATGAATAACAGAATTCATAAATAATGAGATGAATTTTTTTTATATTAGTCACAAAATCAAAAAACGTTTACATTTCACATAAATCTATAGTGAATTGAATATATTTATGCACTTTGTATTAATGAATTGTTTTGCAAAATATTAATGTATTCATAATTTAATAAAGCCATATAAAACAAATTCACCTTTTGGTATCTTCTGACTCTGTAAAAGTTTGTCAAGTTCTAAAGAAAGTTCAGAATAAAGAAAGAGAAAAGAGCATTTAAACAATACAATTTTCAATAAACAAAAATCAAAATATTAAATCAATTAAATCAAATATTAAAAGTTACATCTAGTAACTAAATCATTTAAATACACATGCATATACAATGTAAACATTTTATGTGTATCTAAATTGCCATAAAATCAAATCTATCTCCTTTAGTTTATAAATAAAGAGACAGTGTGTGTCAATTGTTTTGCAGAGCAAAGCAGAGTTCATAATTAATGAAGGGATAATCCATAGCTAAGTCTGCAGATGATTTTAAAACATGACGTGGAGCCAAAAAACCACTCGATGCAAAACTGACCATGTTTTATTCTCCTGTTCTCAGTCTGTAGTTGATTGTGTTCTGGAAAAAACAAACATAATGAAGACAAGAGAAAACATAATTAAATAGAAAACTCAGTCGAAATAAAAAAAGGGGGAAAAAAATTAAATCTCTTAATGAAAAAAGATAATTGCGACTTTTTATCATAAAAATCTAGACTTTTTTTCCGTGCAACTTTGTCTGACAGAATTGCGAGATATAAAGTCAAATTTCAGAGAAAAAAAATCCAAATTGTAAGATATAAAGTCAGAATTGCAAAAATTATAATTGGAATAGAGAGAAAGTCAAAATCAAACAATATTAAATTTAATTGCAACTTGAGGCTATATCTTGCAATTAAAAAAAATGCAAGTTTATACACTAATAATCAGAATTGCAGGAAAAAAGTGCGATTACATTTTAGATTTTTTTTATTCCATGGCAGAGGTATCCATAAAACAGTCTACTGTAAATTAATTTGAGATAAAAAACTTAATTAATTGATTAATTCTAAAGCACGGAAGCAGTGTTAAAGTTAATGGGATAATTAAGTGAATATTTCAGTGATGATTGACCATTATTGAAGACACCTGATGATAACAAGCAGAATCTCTGAAGAAGAAAATCGTAACTGGTGTGTTACCATTATGGAGATCAGCGTTTACTTTAGTTGGGCTCTTGACCCTTAAGTCGTTAACTTTAGATTTTTGTTTGACTGCTGTACCTGTGTTATAACAGTCAGATGAACAAAGAGAAAAAGGTTATTTGATGGTGTTTGTTGTGTTTTAATATTATCATTTTCACCCAATTTCAGAGTTAAATTTACTTTATTGATTATAACAGCACTGTCTTTAAACTTTTACAATGTAATCCAAATAATTTCTTAAAACTTAAATGACAGACAAAACTGGGTTTTTGTTGTTGTTTTTTGAGAAATCATGAATCAGCCTATAAATCTCAACAATGGTGACCATTATAAAGCATTTTGCAATGTATTCTGGGTGCCACCAATCAAATCTCATTCATGGCTCCCATCATGCATTGCTGTATGAATAAATAATGAGCTTATGTTTAGAGGTCATCTTTTTGTCACCATTGTTGAGATTCATACGTTAATTCTTGACCATCATATCACCTTTTCTCTTTGTTCATCTAGCTGTTATAACTCAAGTACAGCAGCCAAACAACATCTAAATTTAATGACTCAACTAAAGCAAACACTGATCTCCATAATGGTAACATACCAGTTATGATTTTCTCCTTCAGCGATTCTGCTTGTTAACATTAGGTGTCTTCAATAATGCTCAATCATGACTCCAATATTCACTTAATTATCCCATTAACTTAAACACTGCTTCCGTGTTCATTTAACACTCTGCTCAGAGTTTATATAATTCACACTTTTCAGTGCATGGGGATTTTGCTGCGAACCCAGATAGCAACACGATAGCCCACACAGCCCACATTCTGGCCCACACGCAGCATGTTAGCCGGATCCGCATTTCACATATGCCAGATGTGGGCCGGATCTGGGCCGAAATAATGTTGCTATCTGGGAATGCTTCTATGATCTACTTATGATTTGTTTGAGAAATGCAGCCCTGGTCACCAAATAATGATCTAAGTCTAAGATATGCACTTTCCCTTGTGGCAATACATACTGATTAGTTATTGTGTGGCTGAAAAAAGACTTTAAATGAATAATGACATAATAACTCAAATACCTCTGTATTTATGAAGGAACACAGTTAACAGTATTCCAGCAAAACCACTGAGCACAACTATAACTGAAAACAGGATGGCTGCTGTCCACCAGAGATTAAACATGCTACCTGTAAAACAAAACTGTGACTTTCACTGAGCACTTTCCTGTCAAACATTTATTTTGGTTTGATTCAACAATGATCCATTAATGCACTGAATTATTGATTATCAGTTTTTCTATCCAGCTGTATCAAATAACCATAAATTGCACACTAAAAGTGTCAGTACTTACTTGTGGTATTGATCAGTGTCTCCAGCATGTGATGTCTCAGTTTGACTCTGCAGTGAATCTTGCCACTGTGATAAACAATGATGGTGTGTTTGACACTGAATCGGTCTGCGTTTCTGTGTGTCTCTGTAGTTTCTGAACTCAAACTGACTCCTTCACTGTCCAGCCACTCAAGATCAGGTTCAGGAGACCAACCTTCAGATTCACACTGTAGATGAAACCCTCCTGAACGATCAAACCCATCTACAGTGATCACTGGAGGATGTCCCACAACATCTACAAATCAACAGGAAGAACGTTCATTGAGTGAACTATAAGCCTGTTTTTGTTTGTTGACAAGAACCACAATCAATATCACACTCTAAAAATGCTGAGTTATTTTTTTAACCCAAAGTTTCATTTTAATGGGTTTTGTACCCAGGTACTGGTTAGTTTTTATGTACTGTAACTCAGCTGCTGGGTCAATGTATTATCATTAAAGAGTAACTAAACACTTAACTAACTTTTTTTAGTTAATGATCTGTAAGAATGGATCTTTATTAATACCAGTCATTGATTCGAGTACCTTTTTTGGCATTTGTTTATAAAGTGTTCTATTTCTACAATATATGGTGTAAAAACGTCTTAGTGCTGCCCTCTTCAGGTTGAACGGTGGCTACTGCAGTTGAATTTTCCTATTGGATGTTTGCGGTGGTACGTGACACAGCGGTTGTTGGTGACGTAGGCAAGTTCCATACAAAGAGATGCGTCTCAGGTGCACGCCCCCCTCCGCTGGGCTCTGCCCACTTTTCCAGCATTTTTCAAATATTGCCAGTGGGTGGAGTCAGGCTCTGACCAGGGGTTTAGTTACCCTTTAAACACACCCAGTGCTGGGTCAGTGTAAATGTCCTACTACTTCATACTGTTGCAAGAGAAAAAAAAAAGCAGAACTAAACTGCATGTTATAAAAGTTTTGTGTTCTTCTACAAATTTACGACAGTTAAAGGGGTGGCTGATTATGATTTCACTTTTCTAAATTTAGGCTATGTTTACACGGAAACGATTCTGAAGAGAAAACGCAAAAGTTGCGTTATCACTTTTTATTCTGCGTTTACATGAGCGCTTTGGGTGGGAAATCCGCGTACAAATGGTGACGCAAAAGTGTGTGAAATTTGAAGCGTTTTTTTTAAGATTTCCACTCTGGAGAGTTGTTTCACTTTTTTTGCGTTTTTAAGCCACGCCGTCGCCGTGTAAACGAAAGCCACATCCGATAAAATATTTTTACGTTTTCATCCGTGAGCGTTCTTGTGTAAACAGGGCCTTAGTTAGGGTGTGACTTTGCTGTTTGAGCATAAACAACATCTGCAAAGTTACAACACTCAAAGTTCAAAACAAAGGGAGATATTTGATTTTAAAGAAAACATTTTTTTGGACTACAACAAACGGCTGGTAGAAAAAAGAAATGGCTGGTAGGAACGGTTAGTGACATCATTAACCCTAAAATTTACATAAACCCCGCCCCCTGGAAAAAGTAGTCCATATTGAGGAGAGGAACATCTCACAACAGTTTATCCTGACAGAATATGCTAACTGAAGAGCATATTCATTATCTCCACATCAGCAACATACATTCATCAACTAACCATTCAGAGATGTCCTGTTGCATTCTACATGTTTGTCACTTCTTCTTAGTTTCTCCATCTTTGTCTGACTCCGGCTTAAACATAAAAGGCAGAAGAGTTTCTGACATTTTAGCTTGTCTGTGTGAGGTAATCGGAGCTGCGCTAAGCTCCGCCCACTGCGTCGGGAGGAGCAGATTATTTGCATTTAAAGGGCCAGCACAAAACGTTGTTTTTTGCAAAACCCTCTAAAAGTGACAACTTTAACATGCTATATAAGCATATCTGTGGGGTATTTTGAGCTAAAACTTCATATACACGTCCTGGGGATTTATTTTACATATTGTGAAAGTTACAATACCAATCCCTTTAAAATACAATTTATATTAAAATACTTGCACAACACAAGACACACTTTTCCTAAAAAAAATCATGTTGCCTCTGTCTCCTTCCAGACTTCAGCTCTGTATTCGCTCAGCTTCAATAAGCTAAAATCTTTGCTTACAATATTTGATTTTTTCATTAAAGTGTAGGCTAGTTTTCTACATGCATGTGTTTGGTCTGCTGTTTAAACTTTATAAAAATATATAAAAAAGGATATACAAATTCTGACAAGGATATATGATGTATATTTGTTTGTTTATTTGGTATATAATAAGGATAATTTACAATGAACCAGTAATAATTGCAAAATGATTCCAGTCGGACAATGCCCAGCTCACTGTACATTGTCCCATACATAAGTTACTTATTAAATCTCATTCCCTCTTTCTTATTCATGTGAACACAACACTTCAAATAATTACCTGATCTTGAATCTGTAGCTCCGCTAATAATCAGGAGGGTCAAACAAATGAACTTCATCTCTGAAAGACACGGATGCTAAAAGAGAATGTGTATTATGTCAGAAAGCACAACATGATGTGTTAACATGCATATTTTTTTTTTTTTATGTAAGCAACACATAACCAGAAAATCTAAATGTAGAAAATCTTACTTAATCTACCAAACTCTATTTCTTAAATGTTCTTACCTTTACCTCAACACTGTTCTCAGGAGAGTGAACAGATAAGAGATCATACGGAGTTTGTTCCTGGTTTGGTTTTACTTTCTCATATCACTAAACAACTTAAGTGATAACACGGTCCCTCCCATCATACTTCTTAATAACCCAGGCTTCTGAAATCAACGTCTTCAGACTTTGACTGTAGGGTTTATCACTTGTGCATTTGTGGAGGGGTGAGATTTAACTGTTAGGGGCATTCCCAACAAAAGTGTACATCAAAATCCCTTCATGAACGGCCCATCCACAAGTCCATTATGGGCACATGTGATGGTCCAACGCTATCTCACGACCAATTTGAGTGAGTGAGTAAAATGTGGCTGATTCATCCGAATTCGTACAATTTGTCTAAACTCCAGTGACGGTTAGGTTTAGGGGGAGGGTCAGGTCATTCCTACGAATTCATACGAATTGAGCAACTCCTAAAATATTAGCAAAAATCGTAAAAAATTGTGCGAGTGAGAGGTCGTATGAATTCATACGAATTAGCTTCCTCGTAAAACTCGTACGAATTGCTGTGAGATCGAGTTGAATGGTCACTTCAAAGACACTATGTTAGTGTTTATGGTCATGTGACCTTTGGTGGTAATCGCCAACTAAGACGTAGCTTTACAGACAGTAACTCAAGTGCTCGCGACTCCATCCATTTACGCTTCCTTCCATATGGTGGTGTGAATTCTGTCTGGGGTTAACGGCTGAAGTATATTTCCTGGCGCGTCAGCACACACAACGGCTGGGATGCTGCCTCCCGGGATCAACCACAGTGAGGTCTCTCCAGAGGATCAGCTTGACAACCGTCTGGATTGAGGACATCTCTAGGGTCTTCAAGTGGGCACCTTCCGTCCTCAGTGTTTCGTCTACTAGCCCACGACACCTCAAGAGGGCTCGACAGTGACTCTGACGTCCCAGATTTACTCTCCTCCGTCTTCCACTCAACTCAACCCAGCTTACATCCTCTACATCAGTGTTTCTTTCTTTCTTTTGGGCTTGAGATCACTCCTGCTGCTGATTTGCTCCTTCCTCATAGTTCAGTGGCATAAACCCTTGATGTGACCTAACCACAATCTCTAATGCTACAATCTCACCACAACCCGACCATTATACGTGTCAAGCCCCAATGTCATCGTTAATGCAGGTTCAGGTGCAACGGTTTCGTATGGCATACTACCTACCGCAAACACAACAAAATCCGTACAACACAAATCCTCATTCATGCAAAACAGTACATTGGATTGTAATAACTATGATAACTATACAGATAATCCAGCAAACTCTTCAAGTTTTCAAGAATTCTTCGAAACAGTAGTGTGGCGGCCTGGGGCCGGTTTTAATCGAGATGCTCCTAGATTTAGAGGGCTTAAATTTAATGGCATTTAATGTCATTGGTTAATTTACCCAATAACCGATTAGTGCAGGCTACTGTTGTAGTCATGCTTGTCATGTCATCCATGTATCCTCTGATTGGTGGTAGTCGCATCCCAGAAGCCAAGCGCTCTCCTCCTACTACCCATTTTGATGCCCTAATGATTACTTCCATTGCCATGGTAAAAGCCTGTGGAGAAATGGTGCATCCTGAGTTGAGAAACTAAATTGCAAATCGCCAAAGTAGGCTTTCACTAAATTTGTGAAAGTTTTACAAAAGTTTTAAGTTTTTAGCAGGGTGTTTTCCAGGGGGCACTGGACATGGAAAGCTCCACAAATAGTATTAACTGCTTCATTGGGCTACTAACCAGTTTGACTTTATGTCAGTCAGGCGTGTGAGAATTAACAGAGGTTTAGATGTTGATGTGATGTTTTGTTTTAATCTCACCTTTACTGTGATCATTGTTTGCTTTATTTGGGCTCTTGATCGATGACCTCTTTATGATAGTTTTCCCTGACTGCTGTAACTGTGTTTCTTATAGCAAAAAAAAAAAAAAAAAAAAAAAGGGAGAAAATGTTATCATATATAGTTAGATAGCCTAACATTGTTATAGATAACATATAGTTTGTATTCACTTCCAGCCTGAAATGGGTGGCCTGGCATGTGTCCTGCTAATTTATTTTATTCAATTTGAAGGATTTTAATGGGCTTTATGCCCAGCTGCACTACTTCCTGAACTTCAGCCAGCTCCTTGTTTCCTGTCTGCCATTATTGGCCAAATTGATTAATTCAGGTGTGTCTGATTATTGTTGCCATGACTACTGAGGTCAAGCACACCTGAATTAATCAATTTGACCAATAATTCAGGAAGTAGTGCAGCTGGGCATAAAGTCAATTGCTAGCTATTTACTATGTAGCAAAACTTGATTTAGATCAACAGTCAGTTTCATTCAAAACAGATAAGCAACTTACTAAGTTACATCTATTCGTTTAGTATGCAAACATTTCACAAACAATTTTTCGATTAAAAATTATTGATTAAAAATATGATTTACAATACGTCACAAATTCAAAGTCAGTTTTCTGTAGTAAAAAGACAGTTTTGTTCCATTTTGACTTCATTTTTGTTAGGGCTTCTGAGAATTTGTTGATTAATTTCTGAACGAGGAACCTACGTTTCTAAAATATATTGCCAATGTTAGAATGTAATTAATCACATAAAACCATAGACTGGATGAATAAGACACAAATGTCTTTGGCTCTACCATGTATTACATCTACTAAGGTGACAGTAACAGCAAACACACATTTTTCTATTAGTCAACACTGTAATGTTTTCCAAAAGCCGCTTGATAAATTTTATGTAAGGCAATAAAGGCATTTTACACAGGCATGTATCACTATCAAACTGCACGCAGACGTCATCAGCGAGCGCCCGACGGGTCCTTTTAGTCACAGTAAAAACCTGTCACGCCGTAGTTTCCAGTCCTCTATAGGTCAAACTACAGCATCAGCTGAAGCAGAAATGATCCGATCATTAAGTTTACTCAAATATTCACTGAATGTCTCTCAACGAGCACATGTCAGGCTGTTATCATCCAGCAGAGGAGTCGGGAAAAGAATAGTCCCCGCGACATTCACTGGAGGTAAGGTTACATATTTAATTTATTTAACATGAACGAACTTAATAATATGATCAGCGAATTACAACAGATCAGTATAATAACATATTCTACCAGTTGAAGAATTATTTTGAAATAAACGCAGGCTTTTCAGTTAAAAGTATGTATCAAATGTTGACAAAATAAACACATTTATGCAGAATTATTCTTTTCTAAACCTAATGATATTCTATATGTTTAGTTATGATAGCTGTCTCCGTGAATAATCTCCATATTTACATACTATGCAGATGTAAACACTATAGAGCACAGGCAGGAACAATTATCCAGTCCAAACCCCTCTGACTGTCGATATAAACATCAGTGCTGTTTAATTGTGATGACCCTGGTTCTGTTTTTCCTCAGTTAATACTGATGGCCGACCTGCCAGACTGTGGAGCAGCAGCTGTTCTGGTGTCAGTGTGGCTCGCCGCTCCTACAGCACACAACAGGCCGAGACCGCCGAGGAGGAGACGCTCCACAGCATCATCACAGACACTGAGAACGTCCAAGGTCAACCAAAGCAGCATATTAAAGGAATAGTTCTCCCAAAAATGGAAGCTCTGTAATCATTTACTCACCCTCTCATGTTGTTTCTTTCTTCTGCTGAACACAAAATAACATATTTTGAAGAATGTTGGTAACCAGACAGTTGATGGGACTCCATTGACTTCCATAGCATTGATATAGAAATCAATGGGTTCAATCAACTGTTTGGTTACAGACAATCTTTAAAAATATGTTATTATGTGTTCAGCAGAAGGAAGAAACAACATGAGGAGTAAATGATGACCAGTGTTGTGCAAGTTACTTCCAAACTGTAATACATTAGGTATTACTTGTTACTGTTATTTAAAAGTAATTCATTACCTCAGAATTGTAATGCGTTACATTACTCATGTATTACTTTTGAGTTTCAAATCGGATGAGGAAGGATTGGCTCTCCAGTCTCCATAGAACTTAAAATATTCATTTTATTTTAGTTTTCGTGTTCGCATTTATGAGGAAAAAACAATGTTACAGACGCGACCGCTCTGAACTGGCACTAAAAGACTGCTTTAAAACTTTCACATAGTCTGTTGCCTTTAAGAAGTAAAAGCAGACAATACACTGTAATACAACTGTAATACAAGCCTCACTGAACATGTAACGAGTAAAATATTACTGAAAATTGATTAGTAATGCCTTACACTACTGCGTTACAGCAAAAAGTAATAGGTTACTGTAATGTATTACTTTTGTAATGCGTTACTCCCAACACTGATGATGACAGAGTTTCCATTTTTCCATCACGTGACACTGAAGACTGGAGTAATGATACTGAAAATTCAACTTTGCATCTCATGAATAAATTACATTTTGAAATATATTTAAATATAAAATGGTTATTTAAAATTGTAAAAATATTTCGCCATACTACTGTATTTTTGATCAAATAAATGCAGCCTTTGTGAGCATAAGAGGCTTATTTAAAAAAAAAAATATATATATATATATATATATATATATATATATATCTTACAGACCCCATATATGTAATTGTAAGGATTTTGACACTCTTGTTTCTTTGTTCAAATAAGGATCCTACTCCAAACATGAGTTCCAAGCGGAGACGAAGAAACTGCTGGATATTGTGGCCAGATCGCTGTATTCTGAGAAAGAGGTGATCTGAATTAACAACAAAAAAAATTATGTAATGCTGTCATGAGCAATTCTCTTGATGCATTCAAGGCTGATCCTAGAGGATTGAACAATAAATTGTCCAGGCGGATTATTTGATTTCATCTGATTTGTCAATAATTAAAGTAGTATGATGTTTATAATCTGCAATATATTGGCTGTAAACCACCATATAGATTTGATCAAATAATAATCAATTAAATATTTAAAGGGATTGTTCACTTTGAAAATAATTTTTGTTATGTTTTAGCTTACCTCAAGGGCATCCAAGATGTAGGTGTCTTTGTTTCCGCAGTATTTAAAATTGACATTTTTAGGTCAAACCGTTCTTGTCTGTCAGTCATATAATGGAGGTCTATGGTCA